TTTTACATGTTCTTCGATTACAATATAACTTATTATCAGTCAGTAAGTTGACAAATGATATCGATTGCATTACTAATTTCTCTTATGATGGTTTTGTTTTTCAGGATCGTTGTTCATGGAGGATGACCAAAGCTGCTAAGAGAATAGTTGGACTCTAGTACTTCTAAGAGGATAATACAGAGAGTGAAGACACGACACTAAAAAATTGTAGCTCATCCTAAGTCATTGAATATCCCATTATGTTATTGCATGTTGTTTAAGTCATCCTAGTTTTCAATATTTAAAAATTTTGCATAATTTGATCTTTTCTAATAAAAATCTAACTTAAATTGTGAGACATGTCGGTTAGGTAAACATCACCGGATTCATTATCCACCTCATACTAACACACATTTTGCTCATTTCTCTCTCATTCACAGTGACATATATGAATTTTCTTGTGCTACCAGCTATACCAATACGGTGATTCTTGAACTTAATTGATGACCACACTCGAATGACGTTGGTCTGCATTTTAAAATTCAAATAAGAAGTCACTATAACCTTCCAAAACTTCTACACCTTCATCTAAACTCAATTCAAAAACTCTTATTTAGTTCCTTCGGGCCGACAATGATCTTGAGTTTTTAAACTCAATTTTGAATGAATTCTTGGTAAGTAAAGGAATCCTCCACGATAGGTCATGCACGGACACTTAACAAAATGGGGCAGCCAAGCGTAAAAACCATCACTTCCTTGACATTGCTCACTCCATTTTGTTTCAATCCAATGACCCAAAACATTTTTGGAAAGATATCATTCGAGTTGTCGCCTATCTCATAAATAGTCCCCACCAAATTTCATAAGTTTCGAACCTCCTTAGCCGTCCTAATATCATGTTTCTCTGCCAATTAGATCTTTTCTGATAGATCCCTAGATTTCTCGATGCGCGACTTTTGTTCAGAACAGTATCCTTACTCGAAATTAACTTGATCTCGGATCTATAAAATGTATATTCTTTGGATACTCCGCAACTCAAAAAGGTATCGATTCCTTGATCCGACTACAAACAAAATCTATGTGAGTGCTGATGTTTTCTTGTTTGAAAGTGTTCCCTATTTTTCTAGTTCGGCCTCTAGTGAGGGGGAGCTTGAGTTCCTCGACACTATCTTTTATCCTTCTCCTATGGATGGTCCCCTCATTGTTCCCACCACTGGGGAGTCCTCTATCCCGTTGAGTGTACCATCTCCTCATCCCACTGTTCGTGTCTACACTCGGTGCACCCGTCCCAATGCTCCTACTCAGAAGCCTGCAACCTCCTTACAAGACTTTGACTTCACTTCGGACGACATCCTCAGCACAACTCCTCTGAATGAGAAGGTGAGCTCTCCGAGTAGGGTATTCAATTAGACATGCTCATATGATTCTATGGCAAAATATGTCTTTCCAAAGTTTATCGCCGACCTACAAAGCAATTGCTACTACCCTGACGAACCATCGGACCCCTGCTACTATTAAGATTTTTCCTGCCGATCCAGCCTGGAAAATGAGTCAGCAGAACCCTACGTGGGAAGTCGTGGTCCTTCCTTGGGCTAAGAAAACTGCAGGATGCCGATGGATTTTCAAAACTAAGTTAAACTTTGATAGGTTCTTTGAACGCAATAAGGCAAGATTGGTCGTAAAAGGATACTCACAGAATTACAGAGTTTATTATGAGATGACATTTGCTCCAACGGCTAAATAAAACACTATTCGGGTCCTGTTGTCACTTGTCGTGATTATGGATTGGTACTCACAGAATTATGATAGTGATATTTTTTATGTGATGTTAAAAATTTGATCCTTTAAAAAGATTGTGTGGTATGTATGTAAATGCCCCTTTAAAATATTAATATCAATAATGTTAAAGGAAAATGTCATATACATGGCATGTTGTATCTTATGTCTTATGAATTTATCATGACCTTGACCTCATATCTAGTTTGTGTTAACATCTCATTTCGCTGTTCTTGTTTTATAGATTTCTAGAAACTTACCTCTTATAAGCAATAAAACTGAATTTCCTTATTAATCACATTTTAATTTATCCTTCTAAAATTTACCTCTCACTCATCTTAATATACTCATTTTTATCATATTTGACTAGGTTATTATCGAACTCAATTGTCCAACACTACAATGCACAAAAAATAACTCTTATTATTTTTTTTAAAGTTTAATATTGAGACTCCAAGATATTCTCTAATGTCTTAAGGAAAATTTACATAATTCTTATAACAAATCCTACTTAAAATAAATAAATAAATAACACATCAATTTTTATCATTGAATGAACCCTGTCATATATTTTTGCTCCACATTTTTGGTGATTTTTGGTGCCTCCTCATCTCTAAAGCTATGTTATAATAAGGGTAGAGGTAAAATTTTATCTTGCATCTCTCCCTCTCCCTATCCCTCTCCTCTTTGCCTTGAACACCAGTATATAGCTTCTTGTTTTCTTCTTCACCTCTCGCTTTCCTTCTGCTGCAATATGGTATGGAACAGGCTTCAATTTTACATTAATAGACATTAAAATATGCCATTAGGATGAAGAATATGATAAGGTCCTAGCTTTAAACATTCTAGCAGCTTTTAAATGGGAGCTTTTTGTCTTTGCCATTTTCAGAAACACAAATAATTGATTCGGCGAAGTTTACAAACAAACTAAAAAAAAGTTATAAAGCATGTTAATGTAGTAAAAATTTACTACTTTTATGCAATAATTAAAGATGAAATGAAGTGGTTGTGATCAAAACAACAAACTATGATTAAAATGAAATGAAGCATAAAAAAATTATGAAATAGTGAATTGGCCATGAGTTTTGTCATTTTTGAAGATCTAGATAATGTATTTCAAAAATGGAATCAACAGCTATCAAACTGATCAAAATCACGTACTTAAATATAAAAGTCTGGATCTTAGAAGACAAAGATATCATTACAACCATAAGCTAAGAAAGATGCAAAGAATGCTAAAAGAAGAAACTTTAAATGCAAACAATGAACTAATTACAATTAACGATTAACAGACAAAACAAAAATTCCAAGGAAATTCAGCAACTATAATAGAAATATAATGAAGAACAATAAGGATGTAATGAAATATATGCAAAATCATCAATCAATCAAAGACAAACTAACAGCAAAACTAAAAACCACTGGCGTGATACTTAGAGAAAATAATTTTTTTAGAATAATTTGCAAGAAAAATGAGCTCTAAAATGAGACTAGCAAAACAAGATACAAAAAAATATATATATTTATGAATAAAGAACCTACAGGAGCCTAATTGCCAAATATATATAACTTATGAAAACAAGATTTTGTTTTCTATGAAAAGCACAAAGGAGGGGAAACACTCATGGCATAGGAGATAGACAGGAGTTAAAGAAAGAAGTTATTTAAGAGCTAAGGAAACAAGTTTTTAAAGATTTTATGTTGGTTTCCAAAAGTATCAAAAAGGTTCCAAGACAAGCATTAATTTAAATCAATAAAAATAGCTTGACAATGAGTTAGAATTCAATGTAAGGAGAAGAGAGGGAGAGGGGTGGTCGTGAGCTGATGACATGACAACTATAAAGTAAGATGACAAATCCAACTGTGATGCAGAGGTTTTATGTGATGAGGACAACTTAGGCCCATAATGGGTCAAAAGGGGAGTAAGAGGCAAGATCAATGCATAGAATGTCTGACTAGCCAAATGCCCTAATTCATGACAACATCTTTTCTCCTTTCAAAATTTAACAAATTATTTATAATTATCAACACTACAATTATGCTTCTGGTGAAGGTCATGGATGCTCTGTGCAAATGAAGATGCAAACTCGCTTACATGAATAGGTAGAGTCATTAGTTGATGAAAAAAAAAGTTCTGTGAATTACTAGAAAAATTGACTCTAATAACTTATTGATCAAGACATTCTATATAAGAGGACTACTAACTTAGGATTTATTATTGTGAAAAAGGACAATACTCGGTTCAATATGTGATGGAGTAAAGACAAATTCCATATTCAAGTTTCTAAGGACCAAGCCAATAAAATACTTCACAAGGGATAAGCTTGTAATTCAAATTACAAGTTATTCTTTTTATTTAAAAAAGAGGAAGGATTACATACAAGCTAACTCACTGTGTTAATGCATGGATAGAACCTAGAGCAATACCAAGCTCAAACTCATAGCAAATAACGATATAAAGGAGACTTTTTTTTAAACTGTGAAGGTGAGTTTCTTCACACTCCGGTGGCGGCCGCGGCGGCAAAGAAGACGGCGGGGCCGGCAACGGTGATGATGGTGATGTGGGCAGCGGCAGTTACGGCCGGCCGCAGGGCACTGCAGCGTGGCTATTGTCAAAGAGATCTATATGGGAGCTCTCGGGTTTTATTATTTTAAAAAGTTGAATGGCTAAAGCAGCAAAAGTTAATAAAAAAACCTGTATAGCTCATCAATTTAATAAAAATTTACTACTCATTTGCAATGATTAGAGGTGTAATGATAAATCCCAGCTGATGAAGTGAAGAAGAAGAAAAAATTCTCTATCAAAACGGTCCTCGAATTGCTAAAGTAGTGAGCAAACTTAAATGACGAATTAATTATTGTTTTTTTCCTTCATGATTGAGTAATCTAACTTGAAGCTTACAGACCCTTATTGCAATGGCAGAACATAAAGGTTAAATTCCAACTGAGGGTAGACTTATTTGTGCTCAAACCAATCAAATTTGATAGTAAAATCAAAGTCCATCAGACTCATTCAATCAACAAAATGAATTATTTAGAAAAAGGAGTGAGCATACCTTTTGCCCTAATTGTATCGGTGGACAGAATAAGAGTGTGTGTCACGACTTAGCCCAGGACATATAATTAACTAAAACGGGAACACACGGTCTAACATTGGGAGCTAAGTTTTTCATATTCATTTAGCGTTTAACAAATGAAAGAGCAACCAAAGAAAATTAATTTAAGCGGTATAATTTAAATTTTACCTCATAATTGGTTGTTTGCGTCTTCTATAAACATTTTTCCTTCTATCGCTCATCTTTTCATCAATAAATTAAACCTGAAAAATTCAATTAAAACAATGGTAAGCTAAAACATAACTAGCAAATACTCATACGCCTAAACTACAGTATTACAAGAAAAAAAAAATAATATGCATGTCAATAGTTTTTAATAAATCAATATAAATATCTTATGCTATTAAAAAAAATCTTACTATATTAATAACATATCAATATTATTTTATATTTGTACAGTCGTCACATGAACACCGTCTAAAAATTTGTATCAATTAATACTTCAATGTCAATATCATATTCTATATACAAGCACAAATATCTTAGTGTTCTCCCATTAGTACCATAAATGGATGATTCCATCATAAGCAGTCAGGCGCATATATGCAGTTAATATAAACATATCATTCATGTGTTCATAGCATTCAATTCAATATAATGCATAATATACCAACATTCATAACAATGTGACCAATAAAAGAAAGAACATATAATTCAAAGTAAAAATTATACGAGTATCACTATCTACTAATGCAATATAGTGGAGAAGAATCAAAATATTACTATAGATTAAAAGTATGAGTGCTCATCTTGATATCAATTAATTTATTATTTATTTTGACGTTGACTCTACTAAAACTAAAAGACTAAAATAAACATGGAATTCATGTTATTAGAATTTTAATTTATTTATTATATTATATCATACATACAAATATAATAACTTATATTATTTATAATTAGCTATTCAAGTATAAAAATTTCTGTTTTTTTATGTAATCCTAAAGAAGAATCCTTATTAAATATTAAAGTTATTAAAACTTACCCTTATAAGTTTCAATCAAGCCTACCCCACACGAGAAAAAGCTTTCTTTGCACACGGGATCAAGCCTCTGCACGCAACCTCCTCTTCTTCTCCCATCACTTCCTCCTCCTCCTCCTCCTTTGGCTTAGGGCTCCAAGCACACGTGGCTTCGGCTCCCTCCTAGATTGTCCTCCTCTCCTTCACATGTCGCTCAACATAGTAAAGAAAAAAGGTGATCCTCTTCTTCCCTCGAGCGTAGCACACGGCGTCGTATACTCGAGTAAGAAAAACTTTCAAACTCTGCTTTCTGACCGCAAATCTGAGAGCTCCCATCCCACACGTCAATTTACAGGCAAACTCATCTTTTCGGCTTTCAAGCTCCTTCATTTCCTCTCCCCTCTGTTCAGTTACCCGACTCCTCACTTCTACTTTTTCAGATTTTTCATTTCCTATTTTGGCTCTTTGTTTATTCTTCCCTGAATAGCTAAAACAGGACTTCATAGAGAGAGAGAGGGAGAGAGAGAGAGAGAGAAATAGAGAGAGAGAGAGAGAGAGAAGAAGAGGAGGAGAAAGAGAGTGAACTTGATAAACCCTCTGACTCCATTAGACTAGCACAGTTTGCTTAAATGAAATACTAGTATAGTGTTGGTGCTTCTGTGCGAATTATGGGGACTTTGTTCTATAGGACTCAGGCAATATAAGTTAAAAAGTCAAGCTCGATTCAGATAAGACTTAACTTGTTCATTGGTGACCTGACTAGCTATTGAATCCTTTTAAGATGTAGGTTCTCGTATCGTTCATGAGTACATACAACCAAAAAAAAACATTGTATGGCATGGCAAGAGTGGAAGAGAGAGCGAGGAATGAAAAACTTTTGAGGGAACTTTAGAAGATATATCAATTCCAAATCTCCAGCAAACCGAAAGAAAGCAGCTCCTCGGAGGTTCCACAAGTTACAGGATCTGAGAGAGCAGGAGGTCTCTAAAAATAGAGATCAAAAGTGATCTCAGAGAAAAGGAGGAAAAAAAGTGAATCCATATAGAGAAAAGGAAGTCCCCTCTGTATATTTTTCCTTCCCCTTTTATATATAGAAGAAATCCATAAAATAATCAAAGTAGTATATTTCGCACTGCATGATGCTTCTCTCAAATATCCTAATGAAAAAAGTGTAAAGTGGATAAGTGGATGTTAGTGTATTGTCGATTAATGTCAAGTATTGTAAGTGAATATCTAAATTTGTCGATAAGGTAGCCACCCCAACTCCTTGGTGAAAAGACAAAATCTCAAATTTCGGGCGACACCTCTAAAGAGTGTATTACGGAGAACATTCTTTTGTTGTCAGTTTTGTACTTTCTTGCACCTATTTTTCTTCAATGTTTTCAATGAAAGCTTCCATATTTCTTCATCTCATGTCGAGTAGCTAAATTCCTTTCATGCTCTTGTCAAGTAATCAGGATTTCTCTTTGTGTTCTCATTTATTTTCTCGTGTTATTGAATTATGCGTGTTGTTCTGTTAACTAATATCTCGTCCATCATTTCAACTGAATTACGAGTTTTAGAGACTTCAATAACTTAGTGAGTTTTTGCTTTTTTTTTTTTCCTGTACAGCAGAAAGTGAGTGAAATCTACTTCCTCCTAAGAGGAGAAACATTTCGGATAAGTCAAATCCATGTTAACGGGCGTCCCTCTTCTCAGTTAGCTTTTTTTCCTTATCAGTCCACATGTACTTCTTGTAAAGCCTCACATTCTTATTCTTTCATTAAATTTTGGTTAATATCATAGTAGTCTTGGAAATTTAACCAAATTCAAATATTGATGGGGCATTGCAGACTTCATCCAATACTTCGACTAATTTCTTGTTCATCATATCAACAGACTTAGGGGTTCCATAGACTTCAATAACTTGGTGAGTTTTTGCTTCCTCAGAAGGATTTTAAATCCAAGGAACAACAACACCAACAACAATCTCAACATAAGAACCCTCTTCTTCAAGGGTGAGATGAGGATTATTCTTCAAACTTGAGGTTGAATTCCATCAGGAGTTCTTTTTCATCCACAACTTGGAGGTCAACCGTGAAAAGTCTAAGATCGTCATAGGTCATCCGAAATAAGCAAAGTTTATTCCAAGCTTAATAACGAACCCACCGTTGAGATGAATTGGATTGTGTCAGGTTTCTTCCATTTTCAAAAGAGAAAGTCAGCTTAGGGGACAACATTTTTCCCATAACAAGAATACAATGAAGGGTATTAATAGAGAGTTTACACTCAAATCTATTAATTTTAGTAAATTTAAAAAGAAACTTATTCGAAAGAGAACTCAATTAAAGCATTGAATTCAACCAAAGAGAGTTTTAAAGCATACTCATTAAACAGAATTTAAGTGAAAAGTTAAAAAAACCAAACTCTGATAAGTGGACCCATTTCATGACTTGGTGAATAAAATGTCCAAAGAGAGAGATGAGAAATCTGAGTCTGCAAAGGTTACATACATATTACCGATAAAAAATAACATAAACCAATACTAAAGATGGAGAGATGAACTATTCCTAACAAAATCGCGAGCAAACACTTGGTAAGATATTTTTATGTTGGGCATCCACCATAAATCTTGAAATATTTCTATCTAAATGATCGGACGAATCATTTGAAGAATAATATACTACCCCAAGAGATAAAAATATTACCTTAAAATAGATCTAATCATTCGGATAAGAAAAATCTTAAAAATCTATGAATCTAAAGTAATCAAGGGTTTTCCCCCACCTTACGATTGTAAGATTAATTTATTTTATTTTGGGGTCTGGTTACACTACGAGGGGAAGTCCTCGTAGTTAATTACATCACTGGAGTTGGGGTTCCCAAGAAAACTCTTTCTTAAATTATTGACTTACATTGTGTATGATTATGCCTTGAAGATTAATATTTTAGGATCTCAGATCGATGGATGGATTTGGAAATGATTAGAGTGGAATTGAAAGGATTGAGACTTAGAGTCCAATGACGATGTATCATGGGAAATCCCAAGAAAAATGTTGACTAACAATGGTAAGAAGGCATGCCCTGAAAAATGGAATTGTGAATTTATTTGAAAAGTGTTCGATTTTTTTGCGTTTTAAGAAATTAGATTTGGTTTGGAAGATTTTGATTTATATTAATTCTAAAAAGTTTGATTCCAATAGATTTACTTGAACTGAAAACTGGAGTTATTTGAATTGATTTGAAAGCTTAATTTAAGTTGATTTAGTTTGATTAATTAAAGTTTATTTTGAGTCATGAAGGTTGTTAAAATTTGTTTGGAGTGTTTTTATAGTTCATTTGAAGATATTTCAAGTTTATTTGAAATTTTGAAATGTTTGAAGCTTTATTGAAGTTTATTAAAATTAGTTTGAAGTTTATTTAAAGTTGATTGAAGTTATTGAGTTTAAAGTTATTTGAGAATACCTGAAGATTATTTGAAATTTAGAGTTACATCAAAATATTTGAATATTGTATGAAATGATTCAGAGGTTGTTAAGGTTTATTTGAGAGTTATTAAAGTTGTTTAAAGTTTGTTTGAAAATTATTTAATTAGTTTTAAGGTTATTAAAAGTTTGATTTGAAATTATTAAAATTTTGTTAGGAGGCTATTCAAAATTTGTTTGAAGTTTGGCAAAATTTGTTGAAGTTTGCTATTTTTTATTAAATTTTAATAAGATTATTAAAGTTTATTAATTTTTTTTTAATATTATTAAATTCTATTTGGAGTTGTTTAAAATTTTGGGGGAAATTAGAAGTTATGAAAGTTTAAAAGTTAGATTTTTTAAGTTCAAAATAGTTTAGGGCTTTGGAAAGGTGGTTTTTTGAGTTGAAAGGGGTTTGATTTGTGTTGGGAAGAGTTTTTAGGGATTTAAAAAAGGCTTAGGTTTTGGATTAAAAGAGTTTTGATGTTTTGAAAAAGTTTTGGCTTGGCTTTCAATTTTGGATTAAAAAAGTTTTGGGTTTTGAAAAGATTTTGAAGATAGATTTGGCTTGGATAAAAAGGTGTTTTGTTTGGGTCGAAAAATATTGATTTGAGTTGAAAAGTGCTTCTAAACTAGGAAATAGAATAGAGGCTAAAAGGATTTATAGATAAAAGTAAAGTCCTAACACTAAACTACTCTACATGAAAGTTAAATGGGTGGACTAACCTATTTTTTAATATAACGCCCCCGATCAAAATGCACATTTCTTCCATCGTCTCAGATGCATTAATATACTTAAATTATTAACTAGCCGGATAGTTAGAGGTCTTCAATGTTAGCATATCGATGACAAATAGACATTCTTACGATTAGGTGGTTCGATGTGTTTTTATCAGTAATCATGATTTATTTCATCCTAAAGCACCTACATAATTCAAGGAAGTAAGACTATTTGTTTTATATACCCTAATCCTCAGCACTAAGGGTACATAGCAATCTAACTTGGGTTTCTAGACTAGAATGTTCTAAGATCTGTGTGATCCTCGGTTTTATTTCTGAATTGACTAACCTAGGGTTCACGTTTGATCTACTTGGTGGTTGTTAGCATTATTTAAGTTGGTGAATTTTAAATTTACGTTGAGTTTGACATTTAATTCATGATTTAGTTCAACTCCTAATTTTTCGGTCAAAATGATAATCAAGGTATTCTAGGTATTTAGCATTTGGTTTTCTATCCTAAGTTGGTGTTTTTCATTGGTTCTCCTCCTTATACTTGATTTCTAGTGTTGGTTTACTATTCTAGGCTGGAGTTTCAGCAATAAAGATTATTCTATAAGAAAAAAAAAAGAGAGTTTTTGTTAGCTATATGCATACAATTGAAATTTACATGCATACCAATTGGTTCTAATATATTTCCATATCTAACATTTAAATTTCATTTTTTATATATATAATATCCAAAATTTAAATATCATAACCCAAGTATTTTTCTTACTTACATACAAAACACTCAAGATTTAAATATCTTATCCAAAAATATTTTTCACTTGCGTACATAACACTCAAGATTTAAATATCACTTCCATAAATATTTTTCACTTGCATACATAACACTCAAGGCTTGGTTGTTGCATCAAAAACATTAGTGTTAGATATGAAAATGCATAACGGATTTAGATGCATATTACTCCATTCAATTTGCACATCTAAACTTCAATTACATACATAATACTCAAGATTTAAATGTCACATCCAAAAAAAAATTTCAGTTGCATATCAAAACATTAAAGGTTTAAACATCACATCCAAAAATGCTTTCACTTACATATCAAAACATCCTACTACCTTTGTTTTTAAATGAAGAAGTCTACTACTTAATGCATAGGTAAGGTAGTCTGTGTGTAAAAATTAAAATTTATGTGTTAAACATGTAAATAAATGAGCATTGAATGACATGGAAGTAAATATAAATATTTTAATGTTAATTATGTAAATTTATAAGAATTGATCAGCATGTCGGCAAATTTAAATATGGATTTTGGACATGAAAACACAAAAAATTCAGACATTTAATATAAAGAAATTCCAGCTTTTCAACATGTAAATGCGTAGAAATATTGAATTTTGAATATGCTAACATATGGAAACTTCAAAATTTTCTTATACAAAACACATTAGAATTTCATGTTTTTCATATTCGAATAAATGAAATAAGAACCGATCAAAGTTTAATATTTTTCACATTTGTGCATACAAAATTTACAAATTTTTCCATTAAAAAACCCTTCAAAGTTTCAAAATAACGAGCCGATCAAAGTTTCAAATTTTTCATAAACGAACGAACCTGTCAAAGTTTCAAATTTTACATAAAAGAACTATCAGTTTCAGATTTTTCATAAACAAAACAGTCAAAGCTTTAATTCTTTCATAAGCGTTAAAATTTTAAATTTTTAATAAATGAACCCATCAAAGTTTTCAGATTTTTTATAAAGGAACCCATAAAAGTTTCAGATTTTGCAAAAAAAAAACAGTCAGTTTCAGATTTTTCATAAATGAAACAGTAAAAGCTTCAATTTTTTCATAAACAAAACGTCAAAATTTCAGATTTTTTATAAACGAAACCATCGAAGCTTTAGATCTTTCATAAACTAAACAATCAAACTTTCAGATTTTTCATAAACGAACTCATCAAAGTTTCAAAACTTTTATAATGAAACCGTCAAAGCTTCAAAATTTTCATAAACTAAACCTTCAATGTTTCAAATTTTTCATAAACGAAACAGTCAAAACTTCAGATTTTTCATAAACAAACTCTTCAAAGCTTCAGATTTTCATAAATTAACCCCTCAAAGATTTAGACTTTTCATAAACGAACCTCTTAAAGTTTCAGAGATTTAATAAATAAGACTGCCAAAGCTTCAAATTTTTCATAAATGAAACCATCAAAATTTCAGATTTTTCATAAATGAAATAGTCAAAATTTTAGATTTTTCATAAATGAAACTGTCGAAGCTTCAAATTTTTCATAAACCAAACCATAAAATTTTATGATTTTTTCATAAATGAACTCTTCAAAGCTTCATATTTTTTGAAAATGAACCCATCAAAGCTTCAAATTTTTCATAAATGAAGCTGTCAAAACTTCATATTTTTCATAAATAAAACAATAAAAATTTCATATTTTCATAAAAGAAAGCATGAAAGCTTCTAAAGAAGTTCAACTGCACCACGCATGCACATTAATTCACACAACAACAACTAACAACAACAACAAACCTTTTTCCCATTGAGTGGAACAAAAGCTGTCACACAACGATAACTAAAACATACTAAAATCACTGTCCCGCAACACAAACACTCCTAAACTTAACTTCTAAAACTAATTCAAAACCATTACCTTAGTCCACCAAACAAGAATCTAAATGGTGGTTTGGTTATTGCATTGGAGTGGGGTTTAATGACCATTTTGGGGCTGCTTTGAAGTGGATTCTGAGTGGTATCTAGGGGCTGGTTTTGGGTGGTGTTCAGGGGCCGGTTTTGGGTAGTGTTTTTGGATTTAAAAAACAAAATTAAAACTCAGGTGTTATATATCTAAAAACGTAAGAATTGAATGCTGTGTTTGTGGATTTAAAAACAAAATTAAAACTCATGTGCTAGATATGTAAAACGTATGAATTGATTGCTGTATTTGTGGATTTAAAAACAAAATTAAAACTCAGGTGTGTTACATATGTAAAACGTAAGAATTGATTGGTGTGTTTGTAAGCACTTGTCAGACATGTAAATAAGCAAGTAAGGATTAAGTGGTATGAATCCTACAACATTCCAAACCACGTTTATCGGTTCTCCTAAATAATCTAATTAGAATATGATTTCATGAGATCTGGAGAACTTAAAAAAGCGTTAAAGAAATTGGGAGGTAAGAGGAGAAAGATTGGTGTTACCTTCCTTGATGGTTTCAGAGGACTGTGCACGCCGCGATCTCGTTGTGGCCTTCCTTAATCCCGTCGTCGCCTTCCTGGCCAGCTCCGACAGCAACTGTATAGCGAAAGTTAGTCGCGAAGGGCAAAGGTTATGGGCAAACCGGGAGAGGTAAAGAAAAGCCAGTAATATTTTCCGGCTGAGAATTATGGAATGACGGGGAAGTGGGGCGGTTTGGTTCTAATGAAGAATGGGGAGTTTCGTTTCCACAACTGAAAGCCATCGGGAAGAGGGAGGAGGCAGATGAGCAATTAGGGATTTAGGAAGGGGTTTTATTTATTTATTTATTTATTTAAACGCATAAGAATGCGATGGTATGTATGTAATTTTTTTTCTTAATTTTATATTTTATTTAATTTAACTTATTCAGTTTATTTTATTTAAAATTTAATTTAAACTTATTTTTTGGTTAAATGTAGTTTTATATTGTGTTTAATTTAGTTTTAATTAATATTTTGGTTTTAAGCTAGTTATAACTTAATTTTAAATCATATTTAATTCATGTTTTAATTTAGTTTTGACTTTATAATTAATTTATATTTTTATTTAGTTCAAACTTTAATTTAAATTAAGTTATGTTTTGTTTTAATTGATTTTTTTTAAGTTTAGATTTTAACTTTTATGTTTTCATAATTTATGATTATTCTTATTATCTTTTAAATTATCATGGTCATGACGCAAACCCAAATAGAGTCTGATTGGGATGCGGGAGGGCTCATTTAAATGGTTTTGACGATTCGGGTGTGCTCAGGCAACTCGTTTCGCAAAGCAAAGCTCTGAATAAAAATGTTTACGCGGAAGAAAATTTCATACATGAATATGTGAAACACACGAATCCACATAAAAAGTGTATCAAAATATCTTCGAACTCATTGTATGCTTCTCTAAGAATGATAATGAATACAACGTAGCTTATGAAATGAAATTTCGAGCACTACAATGAGTTGAAGAGACCACGATGGCTTTTAGGTTTGTTTTCTTATATTAGGTTGGGTTTAGTTCAATTTTAGGGTTTCAATGAAGTTAGTTACATTTGGTTCTATTTTGGTTTAGTTGATTTTAATTTTAAGTTAAATTAGAGATTAGTGCAAATAGGGTTCAAGTAATAGCTTATCTGAGTTCAATTTGGTCATCTAGTGATATTAGGAGGTAATATGTCCTAATGAGATTGAATATAAGCTAGGGAAAAAGTCGAATAAAAAGTGAGGTCAATAAGGGGAGTCGTGCATATGGAACATTTCCTGCTACTATTGCTCGTATCAATAATACTCCTTCCTCCCAGAAAAGTCCAATTCTAGATTGTGATGCACTACAACATCCTTGAGTTTTACTAGGTTGTTTATAGGTTTTTCAATGTTCTCTCAATTATATAATCTTGTGGTTGGTACACTACACATTATTTCCAAGGATATTATAGCTACTCTTATGGTCATACTTTTTGTTTATTTTGATGTTGTTCTAATCACTTTTGTTCAAACTCATTTTTATGCTTCTCCTGCCCATGGGTTAGGCGGAAGGGCCTAGAGAACTAAGAATTGGTTATTGATGGTTTAACAACAATACTAATAATAGGCCCCTTTATTTATTTCAATAAAGGAGGACTATCAAATCCCTTTGGTTGAGAATACATTTTCATTACTTTCCAATTGTGTTGACCATGTTCATCTCAGAATTGTTAGAAGATTTACTTCTCCTTGAGACTCAAAGTGCGTTAAACCTATGGTCAATATTGATAACAACATTGTTAATCTTCTGACTAAGAAGATCATAATGGCAGTTACATTTTCTTAGGGAAAGGGTCTTATTATTGATGTGAAATTTCTTTCTCAAATTTCTTAGACATATGAGCTTGTGATGCAAGAGTTTCTCCACTTTCTACAGTACTAGGATCAACAAGAAACAGAGAAATGTTTGTAGTCCATTACAAGATCTGGATATTTAGCTTTTGTTGTACAAGCTGTTGTATCCACTGAGGTATTGGTGTCATATCTGGAGTTATTAAACATGATACTAATGTAGAGGTTGCACGTGTATCTTATGTACCTTCATCTTCTATGAATAAAAAGAAGAATATTTTTTAGTTATTTTGCTTCATCTTTAAACAAAAAAAAAAACTTATTTATTTCATATTATGATAAGGAGAGATTCGAGGGTACCCTCCTATGTACACTTCTTTTTCGTTCAAAAATAAATATATTAAAAATATGATTATCATCAGGTTTTGTCTGGGAGATAGTGGATTAGGAACTACCACACTTCTTAATGCCTTGGCTCCAATCAAGGAAGTGGTAGAGGTGCCGCCAGAAAAAGTTATGCCTCTTGTGGATCCTATGTTAGATCTACCTCAGGTGAGCCTGAAATATAGCTTGAGATAAATTTTAAGGTTGATTTATGTAGTGACTTCTCTAATTTTCTAGAAGCTTACCTTGATGATGACGACCTCCTTAGTGAGGAGCTTTACGATCATGAAATGGCTTCTCATCATATCTAAGTAGTAACCGCTAGCGTAGGGAGACTTACCACTACCATCATTCCCATGACCTTGATGAGATAGAGCATCATGAGTCTACTAAGGCTCAAGATAATGCTCTAATTGAGCATGGAGATAGGAGCAAAGATGAATATATTGCTCATCTCCATAGCTAGATTGCTACATTAGCTACTCATGAAGTAGCATTGTAAGTCGATAGGATAGGATCCAATTTAGTTTTGCCTCCTACACAGGCTAAAATGTGTATTGCATGCATGAAACACTTCAAATTTATTCATTTGATACAACTCCACTTGAGTTTCCTACTTTTGACCTTCATTTGCAATATTTGGTGGATGCTAAAGTTGAGGTTGTTCTAGCAGCTCAGCACAAAGAGATCATTGTAAGAAGGGGTAGGTCATATACAGAGGAATATAAATATATTTCCTATCCTCGGGGGTTTTGTTTTCTATGGTTTGAACAATTTGATAGAGTTAGAAATCCATGACAACTTCGGTTGTAAACGAGCCGAGCTTGAGCGAGGTCAGGCTTGGCTTGTGTTCGGCTCGTTCGGAATAGCTCGTGTTCAAAATCGGCTCGTGTTCGAAATTGGCTCGTGAACAGTGTGTCGTGTTCGGATCGATTTAAATATTCATGTTCGTGTTCGGGTCGTGTTCGACTCGAAAAAATTAAATTGAAAAAAAAATTAAATTGAAAAAAATAGATGTAAAATGTGAGATTCGAACCTGGACCTAATATATACAAAAGAATGCACTAACCACATTACCACACGAGATGTTATGATTTAAATCTAGATATAAATATATATAATATATTATTTTATAAATAATATATGTAATATATTATTATATAATATGTTAAGAGCTAAAACGAGCCGAACACGAGCGAACAAATAGTTGTTCGTATTCGGCTCGTTTATAATTCGAGCTTTAAAAATTTGTTCGTGTTCGGCTCGTTTACTTAACGAACGAACCGAACATGAGCTACTTAACGAGCCAAACACGAGATGTTCGCGAACAGTGAGGTTTTTTGACAGCCCTAATGACAACATATCACTTAGTTTAGGGGATTATGTTGTAATGTGGGTAATAATGATGCATTGCTCCTTCACTTATTCATCATCAGTTTGATTGGATTTGCTTTGGAATGGTACTTCGATCTACCTAATGAATACTTCAGAATATTATCCAAATTAGATGATGCATTTGTGAAGAGATTTATTAGAGCACTCAATCAAGCCACTATGAGTGATTTGATGTTGACACAACAAAAGCTTAATGAAATTTTGTTAGATTTTGTGCTTTGTTGGAGGAACCTAAGCGTGAAATGCAAACCTCAAATTTAAGAGCAACTTGATGTTGCTTTTCATAATGCGTAAGATAAAAAGATTGATACTGACTTTGGTAAAAATGTCCTTAATCTAAACCTTTGTAACATTGATAAAGAATGTTGCAAGTTTGCAGGATACTACATGATCTTTGGTCTTAAAGGATGATGGTGATAGATCTATGGGGAAGAAACCTTTCGTCATGAGACATTCAAAAAGAGGTGAAAAAAACATGGCTTTGATGACATTTGATAGTAAACATAAGTTTGTCATGTCTACAAAGCTAAATTATCCACCTCATCGTTAGTGGAATTTCTATTTGTTAAGCAACAAAAAAGCCAAAATAATTTCATTTAACAAAAAAAGTATTGAAAAAATATTTAACAACTTTCTTAAACAGGAAATGTAGTTTCTCCACCAAAATACTTAAAGATGTAGAGAAGTCCAAAGAGCTCAATTATTTTCCATACCATAAACATTTGGAGCATATTCTACAAGATTTCTTCCCCTTCAAAGATTGGTTTAAGACATGAAAAAAGGCCAAAGAAATCGAAATTCTTGAGCAGTTCTAGAAGAAACCTATTGGGCAAGGATCACCCAAAATCATTTCAACCACTTCAACCATGCCTTCACTAGATGTTACTGGTATAATAAGAATAGAAGTTGTATTTTCTTTCATTTTAAATGAACATGTAAATTCAAGAGAGGTTAATGATATTCATCCTGACATTTATTGCACTTTTAATGATGAAATGAAAGAGGATATTTCTAGTTACTCTTATGTTTCCCATAATTGCATTATTAATGCTTGGGATACTAATTATAATATTAAAAATAATGATATCGAGTGAGAGGATCAATATCTATTATTGTCATCCCTCGATGCATATATTGTGTGTATGATGTTCTTAGTGATTCATTAGATGACACGTGTCAGCCTAGTGAAGATAAATGCCTTGATATAGGGGCATCGGTGGAGTATTCAATTAAGGGTGATCCTTTTTATGTCCTTTGGAGAGTATATAAGTAGATACATCTAAGAAATGGTGAAGCTCTTCTCCCAAGAGTGTGTTAGCCTGCCTTCCATGAGAAAGAGAAAGATATCATTACACATAAGATTGGTTATCATCCTAAAGCTTAATCAAAATAATGGAACTGAATGTTTTTCTAGCAGAGTTGATTATAGTGTGTTGGTACATTTTAAGTAGCTATCAGCATCATTGAGCATTTATGATGCACTTTTACATTCTTTTGAGTTATGAGAAACTTTGGTAAAAGTTCTAATAGAACCTAAAATCTTTTATGATTATTATATTGATGAAAGGGTGAAGGAGCATGTACATCACAAGATATATTTGTCGTCACCTTCTCTTATCATGTGCAGGGCCACAGTGCAGCCATCGGGTTTACAACTCATGAACACTTT